ATTGTAGCTCTATTTACAGTAGGCAAGAGTTGGAATCAACCTAAATGTCCATTATCAGATGACTGGGTAAGGAAAATGTGGTTATATTTATACAATGGAACACTAGTCTGCCTTTTAAAAGAATGAAATTATGCCACTCACAGCAACATGGAAAAAATTAGAAAAAATTGTTAAGTAAAATAAGCCAGGCACAGAAAGAAAAATTTTACATGTCCTCACTTATATGTGGCAGCTAAGAAAATAATTTTTAAAAAAATTAAAGAAATAGACAACAATCACAATATTGCATTGAACTTCAAGAGTAGAAATAAGAGCTGAGGTTCTAGAGGGAGGAAATGCTCAGGGGGATGGTGGAAGGGAGGTGTTTGTAAAGGGCCACAAAAATCGATTACACTGTATAATGAATATAGTAATTATCCTGATTTGAACATCACATACTGCACACATATTGATATCCAATGCTTTACCTGAAAGATATGTACAATCAACTATGTTGCAATGAAAAAAACTTAATTAAAAAAAGCTTTTTATTGAACCTTCACTTATTTCTTTAGTTCTCTTTATGTATATCCAGATTCGAACCTATATATTTTTTCTCCTCTGGGTTTTTTTTGTTTTTGTTTTTGTTTTTTTCACATTGCTTCCAATACAGGTGTACTGGCAACAGGTTCTCTCAATTTTTGTTTGCCTGAGAATGTCTTTATTTTTTCTTCTTTCTTACAGGTTGATTTCATAGTGCATAGGACTCTAGGTTGTAGGTTTCTTTAATCAACATTTGAATATTTCACTGTACTCTCTGCTTACTTACATGGATTCACAGGAGATGTTGGGTGTAAAATTCTTATCTTGTTTCTTTTTAGGTAAAATAGTTTTTCCTCCCTCTGGCTTCAGTCAGATTTTTTGTTATTTTTAATTTTCTGAAGTTTGAGAACTACATGCCTAGATGTAGATTTTGGCATTTATCTGGTTTTATGTTATCTTAACTCCCTTTATATTTGGTTTGGTGCCTGATATTAATTTGTAGAAGTTCTCAGACGTTATTGTTTTAAATGTTTCTTCTGTTTTTTCCTCCATCTCTCATCTGCTGCTGGTTTTCTCATTACTCTATGTTACAACTTTTGACATTGTCCAATACTCTTCAGATATTAAGTTCTGTTCTTTTTTGTCTTTTTCTTGTGTGTGTATGTTTTTCAGCTCTTAATTTCTTTGATCTGTCCTCAAAGCCAGAGATTTTATTTCTCAGCTGTGTTCAGTCTACCAAGTTGGTGAGAGTTTGGTGCCAATACTATCAAGGACCACAGTTTGATCCCTATCGGCCAGTTGCCTGCCCCCTGTGTATTTTTCTAACATCTATATAATTATGTAAAGGATCATCACTCATAGAACTATGAATATGTTGGATTTCCAACATATGACATATATCATATGTCATATATATATCATATATATATATGATGAATTATATTGGTAGACTTCTTGATTCTGAGCTTTCCTTTAATTGTGGAATAAATTTAGAAAATTTCTTTTTGTTCTTCACATTCTATTTATTTTCTTCTGTCTTATGTTTAAAAATAAAGTGCTTCTGCAAAGGCTGTCCTTGTTCTTTTTTGGTTTTGTTTTGTTTTTATTTGGAATCTCTTAGGTTTGCTCATTCATTCTGATGGCTTCAGGTAACATTGAAGTTTTGATATTTCCCTGCCTCAGACTGAATGTTCCCCCAAAACTTGACCCCCACTGTGACAGTGTTAAGATGGTGGGAAGTCCTGTTATGGTAATTGAAAGATGAGGCCTTAACAATGTGATTAGATTGTAGCACCATGCCATAATGAATGGGTTAATAATGATGGGCGGGGATGTGGTTCTGAGGGCTTTTAAGAAGAACACATGAGAGGTTGAACTCTCTGCCCTGCCATTTTCTGCCACGTGAGACTCCTGGGTCACTGTTGTCTCCACTAAGGCCTTCACCAGCTCTGTTCCCTGGACTTTTGACTCCCCATCTTTGAATCTGCAAGTAGTAAATTTCATTTTCTTACAAATCACCCAGTTCCAGGTATTTTGTTATAAGCAACAGAAATGGACTAATACATCTCCAAATCTTGATCTTCAGCTTAGATCTCTCTCTCTTGAACTCTGGAATCATGTATCCAATTGCCATTTGGACATTCCCACAGTTATTTCAAGTGTAATGTATTTGAGTCTGATTTATTTCTGCCCATTATAATTTTCTGTCATTCTTCAAAGTGCACTTTACAATGCCAGTACCTAACTAGCTGTAATTATGTAGAGAACCTGAGAGTAAAACACTTTTATTTGCTGCACAGGAATTTAATACCACACTGTCTTCCCACTTTTTTTTTTCTGTTATTACTTTCCTCTTCTGCGTGCTTACTGCTCTGCTATTTTTCTTTTTTCTTTTATCAGGTGGCTCATACAGGGATCTGAACCTGTGACCTTAGTGTTACCAGATGCATGCTCTCCCAAGTGAACTAGCTAACCAGCCTTGCTGTATGTTCTAATGCAGCTGGTCTTCCATCACCCTGTTTTCTTCTGCCTTGATTCTCTCAAAAGCTTTTTCCATTCTCCTTCTAGTGGATGACTATTAAATTGTAAATCTAGTATGTAACTGATTTGTGTTTACAAAACCACATTGTTTACACCCTGTGTTTAGAAAGTGGCAGTGTTCACTGTCATGCAGACACAAGCAATCCTATTAACATGTGCGAAGGAAATTTTGGAATGCCTTTGTATATGCTTTCAATTTATAAGTAATTAAAAGACAACAATTGCATATAATGTTTTACTGTTTGAAATAGAAGAATATTTAAATGCAGAATCATTCCATAATGTTTCTTTAATAGTGTGTCTTTTATCACTGCTCATGAGCATTCACCTAGACATGGTGTCATGTGTGGTTCCATTAACCACAAAGGGGTGTCTTCCTTTGTTCTTCTGAGTGCAGTTTTGCTGTTGCCTCATATTCATGAGAACATGTGGTTCACATGGAATGGCTTACCATCTTTGGCATTTCGATGAAGGGGAAACAGAATGCAGCATAGAAATGTATTTTAGCTTTCTTACTCTATTGAACTTGTGTCTAAATTTGTTAATCTGACACACTGGTTCAGGTTATACTTATGTTTTCATACCTGATTATAAACTTCTTGGAGAAGCAGCATTTTATTCATACTTTTATCACTAGCAACAATGATGGTTCTTAACTATAAGAAAAGGTTTGTAATCATATTTTTAGTAATTAATATATTATTACAGTTACAGGATATTCCTGCTGGGTTTTTTTCTCTCCGCTATATGAAGTACAGAAAAGCAGCACCTTATTTAACACATAAGACACTCACACTCCCATAAGTGTGAACTCTGAGATTCCTGTTTTACTCTCTTGGACGTGGTTTTTCAGACTCTTGTCATTTAGTGTTACTTAAAACAATATCTGAAACTGGGTAATTTATGAAGAAACAAACTATCTCTTACTGTTCCGTTCTGAAGGCTGAGCATTCTAAGGTCCAGAGGCTGCATGTGGTAAGGGCCTTGTTTCTGGTTGGGATTCTTGGCAGAATCCCAAAGTAATGCAGGATATCACATAGAAAGTTGATAAGGAAATAAGAAAAGAGGTCCAGTTATGAGCCTTCTGAACTACCACATCAGAAATTATGGAGCCGAGGCAGACCTAGCATAGGGGCAGGGAAAAGGAGAGTTCTGGACTTTAGAGAAGAACCAAGAGACTCATGGTGTCAAGGTCAAGTGAACCAAGGGTTTCAAGTTGAGCATCTGAGATTATTGTTTGGAAGTGTGACTTGAAGTTAGTATTTTCCTCTTCTCTTTGTAGAAATCATTTTTAAACAACAAAGAAAATTAGAAATGTACAGGAGACTCTATTTTTTATGAGTAGTAGCAGCCATCCAGAACACCAGTGCATAATACTACAGCTTTCATGAGCGATGAATTATCAAGTGAGAGTGTGTGTTCCAGAGTTTGGGGAGATAATACAAGTTGATTTTAGGAGTCAAAAACACCTTTTTCAAAGATGGTGGGCACAGCCTTGGTTGCTGAACCAAATATTTTAGACCAGCATGAAAGGGGTGTCTGGTGGGGTGGATTGAAGTTTCCTGAATAGTAATGGCTTTGAAAAGCCCAGGAATTTAGGTTAAATGAGTAATTTGTGGGAGGCTCTGTTTAGGGTGGAAAAAAGGAGATGTTATTATTTGAAAAACTTCCACATGGCTATAGCCATTTCGCACGGAAGAGTAAAAAGTATAGGGACGTTAATGCAAAATTCTTAACCTAAGTCATTTTCCTCCATATGTGATGAAAAATTGGATCATTCTGCACCTGAAAGTAGCCAATGAAGGAAAACCTAGCCATATTCAAAGCAGAAGAATGAGAAAAAGAACAGTAGGAAATAACCACTATTATAAAAATAAAACAGTAAAAATTGTAAACAATTAGAAGGTGATAAGCAATTATTTGAAGTTTACAGTTAGGAAAAAGGTAAAAATGATCAAATATTACATCATGATTTTAAAAAGAAAAAAGTGAATGAAGAAGCAAAGAACAATGTTACATAATGTTAGAAAATATATTAATAGGGCCGAGCCCGTGGCGCACTCGGGAGAGTGCAGCGCTGGGAGCGCAGCGACGCTCCCGCCGTGGGTTCGGATCCTATATAAGAACGGCAGGTGCGCTCACTGGCTGAGCGTGGTGTGGGCGACGCCACACCTAGGGTTGCGATCCCCTTACTGGTCACGAAAACGACAAAAAAAAGAAAATATATTAATACAAGATAACATTATGTCAGTATGAAGAAAACCCTTATACTCCTGAAACCAGTACCCATTATTGGCTCTTATAAAGTCTTTTATTCCTAGGATTGGGAGAAACTTCTCTACCTTTACATGAGCATGCAATAAAATATGCTTATGTGTGGTTCATGGATATATATATATATATATATATATATATATATTTTTTTTTTGTCATTTCAGATGTCCAGATAGTCAATGACCTAATTGAGAGGAGCCAAGAAAGTCATGGTAGATACTTGTGGCAAGGTGTAATCAATGGCAACCAGTCAACTGAGGAGAGAGTGGAGTTAGGAAAATCACTTAATTTGAGTCCAAAGCATATTTTAAATCTGGTTATAAATAACGGAAACTATTCAGGAGTGGAGCAGGAGGAGTTCAACATATGTCAGAATGCACTTCTTCCAGAGACTGATGCCATGCATGCTGGAGAGAAACCTGATGAGCGTAATATATGCGAGAAATCACAGAGACATCATGAGCATGTTACTCAGCATCCCAAGATTCCAATTGGGCAACCTTTTGAATATAGTGGAAAAGGAAAATCCTCCAACACAGTGCCAAAAATATTTGCATATAAGAAGGTTCATATGGGTGAGACCACCTGTAGATATAGTGAATATGGGAAAGCCTGTAATAAGTTAGCTGTCATTGCCCAAGAGATAATTCAGGTAGGGAAAACTTTTCACTGTGACGTATGTGGGGAAACGTTCTATAAAAAGGCTAAACTTACTCAACATCAGATTATACACAAAGCAGAGAAACATGATAAATACAGTGAATGTCAGAAATCTTTTAAGAAATCATACCTTATCTCATATCAGGGAACATCTACAGGGAAGAAGCTTTATCCATGTAATGAACAGGAGAAACTTTTCTATCAGAAGTCAGACTTTACAATGTGTCACAGAATTCACACCAGGGAAATGTCGCATGGATTTACGAAGTGTAGCAAAAACTTTCATAAGAATTTGCTTCTCAGCTGTCGTCAGGCAATTCACACAAGTGAAAAATCATGTGAATGTAATGGATGTAGAAAGTCTTTCTACCATAATTCTGCCCTTACTTTATATCAGAGGATTCACATGAGTGAGAATCTATATGAATGTCAAGACATTCAAACTTTCTCAAGAAAGTCAAAATTCAAGAAACAGAGAATTCACATTGCTGAGAAACCCTTTGACTGTAACACATGTGGAAAAACCTTTCACCAGAATTCAAACTTCAGCAAGCATACGAGAATTTATAGGGAATGTGGGAAAGGTTTTAACCAAAAGTCAAGCCTGAAGAGACATCAAAGAATTCACACAGGTGAGTATCTATATGAATGTAAAGAATGTGGGAAAGCTTTTAACCAAAAGTGGGCCCTCAAAAGGAATCAGAGAATTCACAAAAGTGCAACACAATTCAAATGTAAGGAGTGTGGAAAAGCTTTTAACCAAAAGTCACATCTCAGCAGGCATCAGAGAATTCACACAGGTGAGAAACCATATGAATGTAAAGAATGTGGAAAAGCTTTTAGCCAAAAGTCACACCTCAGTGTACATCAGAGAATTCACACAGGTGAGAAACTATATAAATGTAAAGAATGTGGAAAAGCTTTTAACCAACAGACAAACCTGAGCATGCATCAGAGAATTCATACAGGTGAGAAACCATATGACTGTAAAGAATGTGGAGAAGCTTTTAACCGAAAGTCAAACCTCAGCATGCATCAGAGAATTCACATAGGTGAGAAACCATATGAATGTAAAGAATGTGGAAAAGCTTTTAAACGAAAGGCATCCTTCAGCTTGCATCAGAGAATTCACACAGGCGAGAAACTACATGAGTGCAAAGAATGTGGGAAAGCTTTTAACCAAAAGTCATCCCTCAGCAGGCATCAGAGAATTCACACAGGTGAGAAACCATATGAATGTAAAGAATGTGGAAAAGCTTTTAATGAAAAGTCAGTTCTCAGTAGTCATCAGAGAATTCACACAGGTGAGAAACCATATGAATGTAAAGAATGTGGAAAAGCTTTTAACCGAAAGTCAAACCTGAGCATTCATCAGAGAATTCACACAGGTGAGAAACCATATGAATGTAAAGAATGTGGAAAAGCTGTTAAGCAAAAGTCAACCCTCAATACACATCAGAAAATTCACACAGGTGAGAAACCGTATGAATGTAAAGAATGTGGAAAAGCTTTTAAACAAGAGGCATCCTTTAGCATGCATCAGAGAGTTCACACAGGTGAGAAACCATATGAATGTAAAGAATGTGGAAAAGCTTTTAACCAAAAGTCACCCCTCAGCAGGCATCAGAGAATTCACTCAGGTGAAAAACCTTATGAATGTAAAGAATGTGGAAAAGATTTTAACCGAAAGTCATCCCTCAGCAGGCATCAGAGAATTCACACAGGTGAAAAACCATATGAGTGTAAAGAATGTGGAAAAGCTTTTAACCGAAAGTCACACTTCAGCATGCATCAGAGAATTCATGCAGGTGAGAAACCCTATGAATGTAAAGAATGTGGAAAAGCTTTTAAACAAAAGGCATCCTTCAGATTGCATCAGAGAATTCACACAGGTGAGAAACCATATGAATGCAAAGAATGTGGAAAAGCTTTTAAACAAAAGGCATCCTTCCGATTGCATCAGAGAATTCACAGAGGTGAGAGACCATATAAATGTAAAGAATGCGGAAAAACTTTTAACCAAAAGTCACACCTCAGCATGCATCAGAGAATTCACTCAGGTGAGAAACCACATGAATGTAAAGAATGTGGAAAAGCTTTTAACCAAATGTCACACCTCAGCAGGCATCAGAGAATTCATGCAGGTGAGAAACCTTATGAATGTAAAGAATGTGGAAAAGCTTTTAACCAAATGTCACACCTCAGTAGGCATCAGACAGTTCACACAGGTGAGAAGCCCTGTGAATAATGAATGTGGAATAAGTTTTTTTACAGAGTCACAGCTTAGAAGACATCAGGATACTCACACAGGAAAAAACTCATGAATGTAATATGACAAGCCTTTTACTGAAACTCCTCCTCACAGAAAGGAAGGAATTCACACAAAGGAAAATCTTAGTAAATGTAATTTGTATGGGAGAAGATGTGGCAGAAGTCAGATCTCAAGACATCAGAGAACTTACATCAAGAAGAGGACCTATAAATATACATTTGTTCTCAGGTATTGGAGGTTGTCTTGAGGATCCCCTATCGATATAAAAATTTGCTGATACTCAGGTCCCTTCTATAAATGGTGTAGTGTTTGTGTATTACCGATTCACTTTCTGCCCTGTACTTTACATCTTGTGTAGATTACTTATAATTCTGGAAAAAATGTAAATACTATGTAAATAGTTGTTATACTGTGTTGTTTTTCAGTTGTAGAATTGATTCATTTATTTAATATTTTTATTTATGTTTGAGGATTTTTGATAAATTGGTTGAATCACCAGATGTGTAACCATCAGCTATATAAAGAGGACTGTAATGAGTGTGAAAACATCTTTTCTCCAAAGCTTCAAGGCTGGCTATGTTTAGAGCTTTGTTGCTTATAGCATCATTCTCCTAACAAAAGGGATCCCTATACCGCCACTCACCATAAACTAAATAAATAAATAAGGAATCACATCATAGCAGGCATTAGATAATTTACACGGGAGAAATTCTGTATGGATCAGACTTACTGTCTTTTAAATAAAACCACTCTTTCTTGTGGGGAACTGGGTGTCCTCACGATGACCCCCTAAGCTAAGGAGCCAAATGGGACAGACTGCTGAAGTAGCAGTGAGCAAGAGCACGGAAAGAGCTGATGCTGCAACCCTTCCTGCGAGGGCTGCATGCTGTGATTGTTTTGCCTAATCGCAACATTTTGACCTAAGCTAGCTGTCAAGAACTGATGGTAACAGCGATACCTGAGAAAACGAGAAAAGATGGTTACATAAGAACACTTCATGACCTCCACCCCCACCCATTGTTTTTTGTTCTCTTGAACCTGTGAGTTTCTATAAAAGGAGCTTATTTCCCTCATTAAACGAGACTTGATCAGAATACTGTCTTGTCTCCCATCTCTTGTGTCTCTTGCTCCTTTCCCATTCCCACTCCCCCCTCCAGGGTCTGCATTGAATATCCCACGGGTTGGGACACTTTCTCTTGTATGTGTAGCCTGCAATCTGAGCATTCCATGATTGGGTGGTGGATGACCATGTAATTTAACTCTGTTTGGGGGAATGTAGATATAAGTGATGAAAACTTCCAGTTCAGGCACCACAATAAAAAAAAAAAAAAAAAACTTCAATGCAGTCGTTCCTGATTTCTCATTTTCTCTGGGACTGAGTAAAGATGACTCGGGGAGAATTGGGGGCCAAAAGTGGGAGAAATCCACCCTAATTTAAAATAAAAGGAATTAAAGAAAGCAGGATTATTCTCACCACTATCCCAGAACGTCCATTTACACATTACATAAGAAATTATTTCCTTGTCAAGCCATCATATGTGTGCTCTGTTTGCATTATAACACAACCAGACCACTCCAGCTGACTTTATAAACTTTCTGAGAGAATTTACCAGTCCCTGTAAATGAGAAGAGAATCCTGTGTTGTCACCTTTTATACCCAAATCAATTTATGGGAAAATCAGATTATGGGGAGAAACAATGCAATAAATGTGGAATATCTATCAGGACGTCTCATTGAACAGTGAAAATAAATCTTTCTAAACTCTAATGTGTCAAAGCTTTCAAGAAAACTATCAACACTTTTTATGTCAGAATTTGAAATGAAGAGAAAACTTAATCTGTGTAATGTAAATTTTCAAATAGAAATGATAAATGGAGTATTAAAAATATTTTTAACACTTTGAGTGTTACCAGTTTTCAAATATGACTGGTGACACTGCCTGCCAGGGGACATTTGGCTTTGTCTGAAGACATTTTTGGTCGTCATAACTGGAAGTTGGGAGGTGCTACTCCATTGAGTGGGAAACAGATGTTGCTAAACAGCCTGCAATGCACCATAACTGGAAGTTGGGAGGTGCTACTCCATTGAGTGGGAAACAGATGTTGCTAAACAGCCTACCGTGCACATCCATTGAGTGGGAAACAGATGTTGCTAAACAGCCTGCAATGCACAAAAAAGCCTCCTCACATATGCAACATTTATCAATAAAAATGTTCTTTGCCAAAAATTTATCTTAATGAAACCCAGCGTAACTGGGTGGGTAATATGTACACAGTATAATAAATAGTTTGGTTTGACTTTCTTCAGGATTTTTGACATTAACTGCCACTCAAACTTCTGTATATATTAAGTCTGCAGTACTGGACTACCTAGGCTTTTTCCTACTCTCCTATTTTAGGAAAATTTGTATGACCAGTATTACAAAACTAAGTAAAGGTAATTTTGTCTAATGTTTGAAGCTAATGCAGAGCCAGTCAGTGGGTTGAATAGAAACATTTGGATGGGAATGCACAAGTCAGGCCCATAATTATGAACAACTTGTCTGAATTCATTTAAACAGCTGTAACCAGGAATGGTTTTTTTATTCTACTCAGTGAAAAGCAGTGTCTGGAAGGAATACTTAATCCTTTATTCCTATTCCTCATATTTTTAAATGGGGCCAAATCACAGGTATGAGTGTACTACATGCCCTGTACCTGAGAAATCTCTTGTGTTTCTATTTGTAGCGATGGAGTGCTATTTTGTATTTTGCCACTAACAGGTAAATCATGGCTCTGATTGTGTATAGGCTGCCAGACCTAGAGATGGCCCCAGAGCCTGTTTTCACCGAAGGAGTCTTCTAGATTCTGTGGTGACTCCCTATCTGCCCTCAGAGCCCTTGGGGTGGGGTAGATCCAAGCCTGAAGGATGGGTATAAGCAAGTAAGACAAAAGGTTGTCCATCATAGAACCTGTGGGGTGTGGTTGGGGGCAGGGGTTATGGGGTCCTTTTGGGCAGGGAGGTCTCTTCCATCTGCCACCATTCTGTCCCCAAATCTCTGATAACAGTGGGCAGAGAGCACAGCACCATCATTTATTTCTCATTTTTCACTCTAATATTTATTATTTTCTTTCTGTTTGGAGAGGTTTAATTTTCCACCTTTATCTAGGTTTTTAGGTGGAAGGTTTGATTTCAGATCTTTCCTTTCCAAAATGTATACATTTAAAAATATAAATTTTACTGTAAGCCCTGTTTTACTTTTGGTATATTGTGTTGCTGTTTTCAATCTCAAAATATTTCAAATTATAGTGACATTTTTATAGCTCACTGGGAGTTTGGGAGTTTGATGTTTAATTTCCACATAGTTGTGAACTACTGAAATATTCAGTTAATGTTCTGTTTAAATCTATTGTGGCAGAGAACATACATTGTATGACTTCAGTCCTCACATTTATTGAAGATATTTTATGGCCTCGTAAATGGTCTTTTCTGAAGTATGTTCCATGGGCTTGAATAGATTGGGTATTCTGTTGGTGGATGTTGTGTCTCTATATACATATCTGTAAATTCAAGTTGGTTTATAATGTTGTCCAAGACTTTTATACCCTTGTTAGTCTTTTTCCTAGTTCTATCGATTATTGAAAGTTGCATTTGACATCTCTGAATATTTACATAGAATGGTCTATTTCACCCTTAATTTCTTCTCTAATTATTTTTACTTGATGTTGGGCTTATTTGTTTGGTGCAGGTATACCTATAATTATTATGGTGTCCTCCTGGCTGACATTTTTGTTATAAATCATTCTCTTTATTCCTAGTAACTTTTTTGTTTGTTTGATATTAGGATGGCCAGCCAGTGTATCTGTGTTATGGTTCTGTTTACATTGTATATTTTTTCCTGCCCATTAACTTTCAACCTGTGGATATCTTTGAACTTAATGTGTTTTTCTTGTGCTCAATATATAGTTTGGTTTTTTTTTTTTTTTTTTTTTTTTTTGTCTTTCTTTTTTTAATACTGTTGGACAAGACTTAAAATAACTTTATTTTGTTTTACCTGGCAGGTTATAGTGGTATACACTTACGAGGTACAATTTGATGTTTCAACACATGTATACATTGTGAAATGATTAAACCAGGCTAATTCACATATTCTTTATATGACACACGTTTCTTTGTGGTGAGAAGGTTTAAAATCCACTCTGTCGGCAAACTTGAACTATATATTACTATTAACTATATTCACCATGCTGTGCAATAGATCACCAGAACTTATTCCTCCTGCTGAATTGAAACTTTGTACTATTGGACCAACACATCCCATTGATCTTTTACCCCATTTTTACCCTCAGTTTTTATAAACTTTATTCTCTCCATTTCTGTTAGCTTGACTTTTTAATAGTCCACATATAAGTAAAATTAAGTGGTATTTGGTCTTTGTGTACCTGGCTTATTTTACTTAACACAGTGTACTCTAGATTCATCTATGTTGCTACAATTGACAATTTGTTTCCTTTTTTAACATCTGAGGAGAATTTTGTTTTATTGGTAAACATTTATTTTATCCATTTATTCATTGATGAGTTTCTCTGCAGTTTCTGTATCTTGACTGTTGTGAATAATGTTGCCGTAAACATGGGAAGGTGACATCTCTTTCTCATACTGACGTCAGTTCCTTTGGACATATACCCTGAAGTGGGATTGCTGGATCATTTGGTATTTTTATTTTTAACTCATTGTGACAACTTTATGCTACTTTCCAAATTGGTGTTCTAATTTATGTTCCCACCTTATGTGTTCACACCTTCATGAACACTTGTCTGTTGTCTTTTTGATGACACCTGTTCTAACAGGCCTGATGTGATATCATTGTAGTTTTCAATTGCATTTCCCTGCAGATTAATGATGACATTACTTTCATACATCTGTTGGCCATTTCAAGTCGTCTTTGGAGAAATTTCTATTCAGGTTTTTGTTCACTTTTTGAGTAGCATTATTTATTTATTCTTATTATTTTGAGTTCTGTATATACTTTAGATTTAGCCTATGTGCGATGTATGGCTGGCAAATATTTTTCC